AGATGGTTTATATATTCTAATTTTTTTTTCTTAGTCACCTTTTGTGTTAACATGATCTTTTCCTGCATTTATATTTCAAATGTTTTGTTCGTTGGGTATATTCTTGATAATACAAATTCTTTAAGAATATTCAAAACCATTCTGCAAGAATAGTTTATTCTGTAAGAATATTATTGCTGTATTCTGATAGAATTGTAGTTAATTATTTATATGTTTAATGTGCAGTTGTTACAAGTGTATCACTACAAAATATTTGGCAATGAATTTGTGATAGAAATGGCTTGAAGAATGGCTTGAAGACCTGATGGGAAAGGCTTGAAGAATGAATTAAAGAATGATCACACTCACTGTTTAAGAAAATTGTTATTTTTTAAGAATTACACTTGTTATTCTTTCAGAATGTTGTTATTATTCAATGAATCACAATCATACAATGTAATTATTTGGTATATTATTAGTTCAAGAATCGATTTTGTATATTCTTTCAGAATGTATTTACTCGTTTATGATTGTCATTCTGTCATTCTTGGACAGAATAAAATCGAAAATATATTTACTGGTTTATGGTTGGCATTCTGTCATTCTGACAGAATAAAATCGAAAAATATATTTACTAGTTTATGGTTGGCATTCTATCATTCTGACAGAATAAAATCGGATTTTTAAAATTGAATTAATTTAAAATATTCATATTTTTAAAAATAAATGAATTAATTATTCATAAAAATCTGAAAATTTCTTTCTTTAATATAGGTTCGTTGACTAAAATTCCCTTATGCTGAAATTTGTGTGATTATATGGTACATGTTATCCTATTCTAATATCATAGACCCTCAGATCATGACATTTGATTCTATTCCATCCGGTGGTCAAGATCTGTGCATTCTGGCACACAATAGTTAGTAAAAACATGATAACCTAAACATATATATATATATATATATATATATATATATATATATGGGCTTGAGGAATATGTGGTTGTTATGTACCTAATGTTAGATATAGAACCATAAAAAACTATACGGTTTTAACAAAATGCAATCATATCTATCTACCATTTTTCTTGCATCCTCCATTAGAGCTTATGCTAAGCTTTGTATATATTTTTTTATGGTATTTTATAATTTTGTTTTTGAACCACAAACCATGTATAAGAATACTTTACCAACTAATTGTAGGTCTCCAAATTGAAAATTAATACAAAAATCTACATTAAAAGATTGAAAGTGTTCATTAAAAACTCACTAAACCTCTTTCCATAAGCCAACATAGAAAAACCATATGAGTATACATAAGATAGGTGCCGAAGGAAGTTATGAAACCTACTAGAAGTCTAATAAAAAACACATTCGAAATAGATAGATGCTGAGGATGACTCACGAAAACAAATATAATATGAGTTAAAAGACAATAGGAAGAAGCTAACAATGAAAGAAAAATGTGTTTTTTTTAATGAAAATGAAGTGAATTTTGATGGTTCTATACCTAATTACATACATGACAGCCACATATTTACTTTTCCATATATATATATATATATATATATATATATATTATAGTATTATATATATATATATATATATATATATATATATATAGGGTTAGGTTATTTTGTTTCTAGTAACTATTGTGTGCCAAAATGCACATATCTGGACCATCAGATGGAATATAATCAAAGGTCATGATCTGAGGGTCTATGATAGTACAATAGGGTAACATGTACCATATAATCACATAAATTTCAGCATAAGGGCATTGTAGTCAATTGAGACAAATTTAAAAAAGGAAAAATCGAGATTTATGGGATAATTAATGATTTTGATCTAAAAAATCTGATTTTTTTTTCAAATTAATTCAATTTCAAACGTAATTTGTAAACATAAACCGATTTTATTCTTTCAGAATGTTATTTTGTTAGAATGATATTCTGTAATTCTGTCAGAATGGTATACAACTATGAACATAATATTATAAAAACATATTATCAAGACCAATAATTTTTAATGAATACAAATTTTATATAAGATGAAGTTTAATAGTTTAGAATAAGTAATTACATTCATTCTTAAAGAATACAACTATAAATATAAACTGCATTCGTTCTTGAAATCTCTTGCAAAAGAAATATCGGCATTCTTGAAAGAATCCTCATTCACTTTCTTGTTTCGTTTCTAGATGTCTTGTGTATGTTTGACCTCTAAGCCACTTCAAAATATGCTAGCATTCTATGAGATTGACATTTTGTGAAATGGACATTCTGTCAGAATTGTATTGCATGAGAATAATTTTATACAAGGAGCCTTTCCCATCAGGTCTTCAAGCCATTATTCAAGCCATTTTTATCACAAATTCATTGGCAAATACTTTGTAGTGATAACTTGTAACAACTGCACATTAAACATATAACTAATTAACTACAATTCTATCAGAATACAACAATAAAATTCTTACAGAATAAACTATTCTTGCAGAATGGTTTTGAATATTCTTAAAGAATTTGTATTATCAAGAATATACCCAACGAACAAAACATTGAGTCCTCCAGTGATCTTGAAAGGATACAAACTCTTGTCAGCGTGAACCATGTCATCACTGAATCTCCTACGAATAAAACACTTAGCATCTGAAAAATAAACACGACACAAGTAACCACATTATGATAAAAAGGGATACGGGTTAGAATAAAAAGAATGGTGTATATTCTAACTTCAAAGAGAATCACAACTATGAACATAAAAGTACAGCTCCATTTTAGATATATGATGGAAATTCACTAAGTACACTGGAGTTTATGAGAAAGACTACAAATAGAATAAGCTTACTGTAAATTTCACAATTGAAAAGTTAAAGACCTATTTTTGACTAAATGTTTAAAAGTCGCAGCTTCATTTTCGGAATGAGAAGAGTGATAGTTTATGGAAACTAAGCCATATTAAGATAACATGAGTCGTTTCAGTATACAATTGTAAACACAAAACTAATGTGTCGGCAAAAACATTCAAGTACAGATTACAATAAATCCGAGAAGCTAAGTAAAAAAAAATCTTAAGTACACAAATTTTGAATAACTAGAGTACTGAAACTCTGAAGAAGAAGAAGAAGAAACAGACCAAATTGATTGATAGATGAATTTGGTTGATTAAAAATTAGTTCTTACAAAATAACATGAAACTGTTAGTTCTTCATCTACGAAATAAAATTTGATTTATTCCTCATCCGAAACCGTCATTTCGGATTTCAAAAACCGCCATTCTTACACGCTAGGAAGAATCAGTAAATACTAAACATAAGGAGTGATGAATTTACTTACATAAGGAGAACTAGGGCAGATTAACTTCAGGAATTCCATATATAGCGACTTCGTTTTGAATATTCTTAAAGACCTGGTGTTGCCGATTTGGGTTTCAGACCTGTTGACGAGTCTTGATCGGATTTAATGGAACCGATTTGGGTTTCAGACCTGTTGACGAGTCTTGATCGCAATGGTTTTTTGGAGTGAAAAGGGTTTGAGGATTTTGGAGGTTTTTGAGTACTCGGTTGGAATTTATTGATGGAAGAAGATATGAATTGAGTGAGTGAGTGTTTGGAATTGTTAAGAATTGAAGAAATTAAAAGATGAAGGTCGGCAAAGAGAGGAAGTGGGCAGCAGTGATGGTGATGGTGTTGATGTCGATGATGAACGTGTTCGGCCACACACATAACTAGGTCAAATATATTTACTTTATTTCCTTAATTGCAAGATCTCAATTAAATGATTTCCTTAATTAAAAGCACAAAAGGTCCAAAAATACCCTTTAATGATTTATTTAATTATTTATTATTTCTTGAATTCTCATTGGTGCATTTAAGCACACAATAGTTGCTAGAAAAATTTGAACCTAGCTCTCACTCTCTCTATATATATGTGTGTGTATATATATATATATATATATATATATATATATATATATATATATATAGGGAAAAGTTATATGGAAAACAAAAAAACCCTTAAAATCATAAAAATACATAAAAAAGTACTTAGAGATTACAAATATTTTTTTTGACTTTTTATATATAAAAATCACAACTTTTTTTACATTTTCGCTGAAAAAAAATAAAAAATCAATTTTTTTTTTGCAAAAAAAATTTCAGCGAAAATATAAAAAAGGTTGCGAATTTTCATAATATAAAATCAAAAAAATGATTTATGATCTCTAAGTACTTTATTTATGCATTTTTATGATTTTTAGGGTTTTTTAGTGTTTTTTTGTTCATATATAGATATATATATAATATATATATATATATATATATATATATATATATATATATGGCTATGTTATTATGTTTCTTACATTTATTGTGTGCTACAATGCACCAATAGAAATTTAGTAAATTAAATAATTATTTAGTTAAATAAATATAAATATTAAATGATTTCCATAATTGTATGTATATTAAATGATATCTATAATTATAATTCTCTTTTTATGGAAACTAATTAAATTCGTCATTAATGTCAGCAATAATATTTTTTCATAATAAATTCATATATATGAGTTCGTTTTTTGTTTCAAGACTCATTCACTTAAAATACAATAAAGTTAAATGAAATATAAAGAACGAGAACATATTCTACTAGAACACACTCTCATTCTTCTAGATACGAATTCATTCTGAAAAAATATTATTGTTGACATTAATGACGAATTTAATTAGTTTCCATATAAATGAGTTATAAGTATGAACATTTAATATACATATAATTAATGCTAAATTTTTATTGGTGTATTCCAACAAACAATAGATGTGAGAAGCATTTGAACCTACGTCTATATATATATATATATATATATATATATATATATATATATATATATATATATATATATATAAACTTGATGTAATTGTTTATAAAAAAAATCCAATTACAAACCAAATCGATTTAAAGAGATATAAAATGATTTCGGCTCAGGTTTGCTGGATCATATCACTTCTCCTCCGGAATTGCCCGAATTGCCCCCAACGATTTTGCTAAAATCCCAAATGAGTCCCTATTTCCCCATCGATGCTCAGGCGAGACTGCTTTCGTTGTTCCTTACACAGTTTTAGGGCGTATCGGTCGCCATTGCCATTTGGCTCTCACACTCATAATTTCTGACAGTTGTGTTCTCTCTCTAGAAACTACGTTGATCGGACATTATTCGCCTCACTCGCAACGTGACTATGGTCAATCCACAACCATTAGATGTACGTCTCTCTTTCTTTCGGTGTTTCGAAGTTTCAGTTATTGCTGTTATGTAAATCTGAATTACTGTGAAGTGTTGCTGTTACGATCGGTATAGTGACTGCGTTATTATTGATTCTTTGTATAGTTTTGTGATCGTGCTAGGGTTATGCATGAAATTATGGTTTTATTTTTTTTATTTGCCGGGGACGAGGCGGTTTTTTTTGGAAGGGATTTTGGATGGTGGATCCACCGCCCGGATAATTTCTATTTTCTGTTTATTTGACAGCAAGAAGACACGGAGATGCTTGCTCAGCACACGGAGCCACGGGAACCGGTGCAAGTTGATGCGGTGCTCGATGGTACTCAGCCTATGGAAGGTTGTTGCCTCCTTTATCCATCATGACTCGTTTTTTGTTTTGAAGTCTGTTTGCTTCCTTTATCTATCATGATTGGTCCAAAGCCTCCAGTTAGCTATTTGCTCTTGATGTACTTTTTGATGGACTAGTTTCTTGCTAGTCTTTTCTTTGGTTTTTCTTTATAATATCCAGCCGTTCTAAAAAAAATCTATCATGAATGGTTATTTTTTAAACCTTGTTTCAAGAATGAAAGAAATAAACGAATTTCAGTTGTGGCTGGGAAGTGTTTGTGTGCATGGTATGGACGGATAAGTACTTATCTACACGGGGTTTGGTTTATTGAACCAAGAACTTCTTAACTAGCCCGTGCTGTAGTCTGTGGCCTGTTGTGTTCTTATTTGGTTATTTACGTTTTGTTTTTATAATTTGAATTCATTAGTTGAGGATGGTGGTGCTGCTGCTTTGAATGGCATCCCAACTGGTGGAGGCAAGGGTGATATTCTTGATAGCCGAAAATCTCGTGATATGGCTGATTTAGATGTGGGTGGAGGCGATGGTTCATCTAATATGGCGAAAAAGCGGAGAATTGTTGAAGTAGTGGATGAAAACTCAAGGTGTAATGATTTACAGCGTGAACATGTGAAACCTTTTATTAACAATGTGAGCCTAGTCGATAAAGGGGGTCCTCAATGGTCTCGTGTCCTTTGTGGTTCTTTTACTGTGGAAGAGCAAGAGCCGGACTTTTCCTACTTTAATGACAGAATTCGTAATCTGTGGAAAGCACACGACATTGAAATTGAATATATCATGAAGAAGCTTAAGGGTTTTTATATTTTCATATTCAACACTGATGAAGGTATGTTAGATGCTCTAGAAAAAGGACCATGGACCATCGATGATGTCCAAATTGTTCTCAAGAGGTGGGGTCCGGGTCACTTTCTTGACAAGCATAAAGAAGATAAAAAGAACCCTGTTTGGATTCGAATGTATGACGGCCTTGCGGGTTGTGGAAGTTGGATGTGGTGAAGATCATGTCTAGCATGTTTGGTATTCCTATAGGCGTTGATGTTCATACAAGACATATTTGTAAGATTGGGTCGCATACAGCTGAATATGCTAGAGTTTTGGTTGATGTTGACACAACTAGAGATGTGGTTGGTGGGATTTCTGTTTCATTCCCTAATGGTAATGGATATCTGTTGTCCGATCTTCGAATTGAGTACCCAAGTAGGTGTTCTTTTTCCAAGGCGTTTGACCATACTGATAGAAATTGTGTTGGCGCGAAGGACAAAGCCAACAAGCTCAATGAGGTATGTTTTCTCATGCTCTTGGCTGTCTGTTCATACAGTTGGTACCTGTGTTGTCCAGTATTTTTTTTCTTCTTCTTTTTCGGGGCATGGGATCCAAAGTTTGAGTTTTTTTCTTTTTTCCTTTCGGGGCATGGGTTCCAAAGTCTGAGCTTGTAATTATCTTTTTCCAGATGCATTTGAAGAAAGAACAACAGGACACTACTATCAAGGTGAGGTGGTAGATAATTAGTGGTGGAGATATCATCTATTTCTTTCATGAATTTCGTACTAATAATCATCATTCATTTAAATTACATGTGTAGGTTGCGGTTGCTCATGATCGAGACCTGGTTGAACAGATAGGGAAGGATATATATTTTGATCTTGTCGACCATAACAAAGTTTGGAGCTTTTGTGTAGAGAAGCAAATGCCATTTAACAAAGTGAAGGTATTTCTTCTATATATTTTTTATTTTTTTAATAAATGTGTTATGGAATATCATGGATTAATCTTACTGGCCTGCAGGAAGAGGTTGCTAGAGCATTTGGTGTGCCTGTTGAATGTCAACGGTTCTGGACATGGGCAAAGAGACAAAACCACACATACCGTCCTTATAGGCCTTTAACACGCCTAGAGGAAACAAAATCGGTATTTCTTGGTCATTTTATGAAAAACATGGTCTCCAACTATTCTTAAGTTTTTGTATCCTTTGACATTGACACTGACAACAACAGGTTGGGGAGTTGAGGGTGGCTTACAATAAGATTGGTAATGCTGAAGCTGAACTGAATTTATTCTTGGAGACAACTGTGATTGGCCCGGTAATAGTGTCTTGATGCTTGCTTGATTCTGGCATTCTGTCCTTGACCTTTTGTTCAGTAGTTGTAAAAAAGTAATGTCTGTCTGGTTTTCAGGATTCGCATCCGCTTCCTCCACCTCACATAAGCAAAGAAGATATACTTGTTTTCTTCAAGCTTTATGATCCTGACAAGTTACAACTCCGGTACTTTCTTTCAACATGTTTATTGTCTTTTTTTTGGTCTGGTAGTCGTGTGTTATGATCTTTACATTATGTACTTTTTTCTAGATATGTCGGTAGGCTTTTTGTGAGGAGTTCTGGAACACCAACTGAAATTATATCAAAATTAAATGAGATAGTTGGATTTAGTCCGCATGAAGAAATCGAACTGTACGAGGTATAATATTATCTCTCATGCTCTTGCTTGTTTGCTAATTGCTATTTGTGAGTTGGTATTTATGTGCACTCTCATCAGGAAATTAAATTTGACAAGTATCAAGAACTAGAATTTGGTTCATGTGTGATGTGTGAACGTCTTGACAAGAGAAGCTCATTTAGATCTAGCCAGGTATTATTAGTCTCAACCTTCCTATCATCAATAAGTTGGCTACCTATAAGTGAAGTGGAACAATTTTTTTTTTTTTTCCTTTTCAGATCAGGGACGGAGACATTATTTGCTTTCAGAAACTATCCCAGATTGAATACAAATACGCTGACGTTCCTTCATTTCTGGAATATGTCAAAAATCGTCAGGTCTGCTATATGCTTAATCAAGAGCAATGTTAAGTTTTTGTATTGAAGTATCCGTTTTTTCATTCCCTTACCATGCCCTTTGCAGGTGGTTTGTTTTCGATCTCTGGATAGGCCTAATGAGGATGCTTTCATTCTTGAATTGTGAGTTTGACATGTCATTGTTACTGTTGACCAAAGTTATCGTTTTGAATGAATAGGTCAAAGTTGCATACATACGATGATGTGGCTGACAGAGTTGCTGAGCAACTTGATGTGGCTGATCCATCAAAAATCAGGTTTACTCGTCACAACTACTATTTTAAAAAGCCAGAGTCCAACCCAATCCAGTATCGTTTTGAAGGACATTTACCAGTTATGCTACGCCACTACATTCAGGTTTCTATATATCTGTCACTTATGCCACTTTCACCAAGAGAATTTGGTTTGACGAAACATACTGAAGAATCCCTCTTTTTTTTTTTTTTATACTATATTTGGGTAACAGGATTATGGTATTATGTATTATGAAGTGTTAAACACCAGTCTGCCGGAATTACAACATATGAAAACCTTGAAGGTTGCATTTTACGGTGCAACCACAACCAAGGAAGAGGTATGTTAAAATTTAAAATCTGCAAGTCTCTGTATTGTCGGCATATTTGCTTGGGTTTTGAATTCTGTTGTGGTTGCTTGCAGCCTGCCATTCACAATATTAGCCTGCCTAAGCAGAGCACTGTGGGAGATGTTCTCACTGAAATTAAGAAAACGGTATACTTTCCATTTTGATTAAACTCAACTTGCATTTACATTAATGTGAAAGTGAAACCACATTTTGAGGATCTTGTATGATCCTTGCATTTCTATTCTGAAGAAAGAAATTTTTTCCCATTTCAATGTATATGTGTCTGATTTATAATGTGGTTGGTATCAGCAAAGGACTTGATTTTTTCTAGCTATGTGCTGTTTGTTGTGTTTTTATTATTCACGAGCTTGTAATTTGCATGTTTAAACAGGTCAAGACAGATGCTGAACTTAGATTGCTTCAATTACGCAGCCACATGATTTATAAGGTATGCATTGGATCAACACTGTTGATTTTGAAATCTTGATTTCCATCTTCTAGCAGAATGCTCAGCTACTTGAGATTTGAATTAATAGCAAACACCAAGTTGAGATATATTCCAAGTCAATTGTTCTGTGTTGATGTACTTTATTCTCCTTATATATTTTTTATTTTCTTTTCTTGTTGTCACACACAGGTATTGACACCGGCTGCGACAATTGAGGGTATAGATGACAAATACTGGACATTATTACGTGCAGAAAAAGTAAGCTCTGAGCAATTTTTATTTTCTGTCACGTTCCTTGATTAATAATACATACAGTCTTGTAGTGTACGAAGTTTATCAAGTGTTGGGCTGGAGAATTGGAAAATTAAGTATTAATGTTTACTTTTGTTTTGTTACCTTAGATTCCAGAAGAAGAGAAGGGCATGGGAACCAGGGATCGGCGCATTCATGTGTACCATTTCACCAGAGAGGCTGACGTAATCTCCAGTTTCTTATTAATTATTCCAATCCATAGCGTATTGTATCCGTTGAACTGTTAATTTATCATATGGTTGGTTTATCTTGGATCTTGGATTTGCAGCAGGAGGTGCGAAACTTTGGGCAGCCTTTCTTTCTCGTAATTCGTGTAAATGAAACTTTAGCTGCTGTTAAAGTCCGCATTCAGCACAAGTTACAGGTCCCTGATGATGAATTTTCCAAGGTACGTACTCGTTTCCTAAATGTTAATTAGGTTTCATCATAATGACATCTGACTTTGGCCTACCTTTTCTCTATCAGTGGAAGTTTGCATTTGTATATCTGTTAAATGTCAAGTATCTACAAGATTCAGATATTGTATCTCACCCTTTTCAGGTTTGTAGTTTGACTTTGCCATTGATATATACTTGTTCATTTCTCATAGACTCATACTATCATCATCACCCTAGGTCAACTAGTTCAGTTGACATATTATTTTATCTGCTTCTTTCTAGAGAACAAGAGACAGTGATTTGCTGCTGCCACCGTACCTTGGGTTGGAACATACTCGGAACACCAACAGGCTACAGCAACTTGGGTGCCTAAATTAGTCTTTTCCTTTCCTATGTTGGATGTGGGGACATGTAAAACCGTTGACCTTGTTTTAATGTCTAATGCTGACCCTCGTTAAACTATAATTATGTTTCAGGTTTTACTACTTTTTATTCAACAAAAATCTATCATCAACAAACTTTAAACGTCTTGCAACTAGGGGATGACCCCCGTAACCTTAAAGTTTAACTATACAAAAAAGTGCACTGGTAATTTATAAAGTAAAACGGACTTTAAATATTTTAGATCAAAACAAATATATATCATTATATAGATAAAAATCAAACGAAAAATTAGACGATCACAATGGAAAATATTAAATAAAGAAGAAAGTTGTACATAAACATAGCGGGTAAACGAACAACAAGCTGTGCCGCAACCTTTTTTTGGATGGCAAAACCCATTTTTTTTAAAAACATCTATACATTTAGGAGTCATAACATTACTATGCATGACCCGTTGGATCCTATTGAGTAGCTCCACAGCTTCTGGCGCATGGAAACCGAAAGTATAAAATGCAAAGAGTATAAACATGTGTTGATTTTTCATTCACGTTTTCTCATGTTTTACCACTTTGCTTGATGCAACTTTTAAAGCAGCTTGCCCACAATGAAAACCTCACTCCCCAAGTCTACAAGAAGGGAAACCCCTCTTAGATCCATGCATGCATGTTTTCCTTCAGCCCATCCAAATACTAAAACATCAGCTGGCCTAAGTGTTGATCTTCCTTCCAATGGGTCAGTCAGAAAATTCACAGGTACCTCTTTCTTGGCAGAAAACCCAGCGCGCCTAAATATGTTGAAAAAAACATCCCTAACCAGATCGTGTCAGTACTTGAAACCCGGAAGCTCTTTGCAATGAACTGCATGCTCCCCAAAGGAGTCCAAGCATGCATTGCGACAAACAGGGCAAGTCTCGTCAGCCGGAAATAAAGGGATCATAAGGCGATACTTGAGGATGGCACGATACTCCACTGGCAACATATGTTGGCCCAGACCGTCAATAGAAATAGTCATAAGAAAACCCTGAGCATGAAGGGCCCTTAGACACTCAAAAATTGTTTTATGCTTAATCGTCATGTCGAAGTGAACTTCCATGTCTTGGACAATTTTACTAAAAAGGGCACTCGCCAATCCTGAGCATGCGGTGTCCTTATTAGTGAAACCGTTGAAATCAAAGTCCGGAATCGTATCACGAAGACATGCCAAAGCACAAACATAATCTGAATCCATACCAAATATGCCGCTATTTCGTAAGATGTGGTATTGTAACACCCACGATTGAGCTTGTGGGGCCACAAAAGCATAGGAGGAAGCCTCTACTGCTGAGTACAACCTCAAACCACCGAGCCTAATTGGTAACGAAGCCAGTCCCCAAAGAATGGACCCCCACAAACCACAATGTACTCAATCGACCCATGTAACCCTTTATCAAAACACAAAGCAGCCTCTTCCATGTGAACTGGTTGACACGTTCTCAGGCCAAAGAAAAGTTTGGCGATGCCCATGCAAGATCGAAGCAAAAGGAGTTCACTCTAGGAGTCATGTAACTGTGGTAGAAGGCGCATCAAATCAACAGCCTTGGCAACCCTCTTCAAGGCTAACCCACTAATAAAACCCGCATCTCTACTAGCAACTCCCCCAAGAAGCTTCACCCCCACTGACGGTCGCCCAATGTCAGCAGGGAATAAATATGTACGAAGCTTCCTACCATCGCATGAAGGCCAAAATAGCTCAGTTTTCTTGATATTCAGCTCAAGCCCCAATCCTCGGTCTGCCACCCTAATGATGTCTAATACTTTGGCAACCTCCTCTGAATCTCCAATGACGGTCTCATCATCGAGGTACCAAGCATGAAAAAGAAGCTTGCAATTGTCTCTAATTTGATGTATAAGTTATATTCGAAAATTAGACTAAACAGCTTCGGTTAATAACAAAGATAAATTCATAACTAAAAAAGCTTCGGTTAATAACAAAGATAAAAAATTCATAATTAAAAAATAATATATTTAAGTTATTGCGAAAACTTAAGTGTAACATCCTGTTTCGAATCGATTCCTAGTCTGAGGCTGTAGCCCGAAGATCGGTCATCATAAACAACAAACATTAGTCATTCAATCGATAACACCTACATAGCATATGTATTTCAATTGTTTTGTACGTAAAATTTTCATATTTGAATGTTGTTTTCTAAATTTCATGTTATCTGATTGCAAATTGGTCAGTAGCTTTATTAAAAAAAAATTGATTTCTATGGTGTTTGTTTATATACCATGTTTTTATTTTTCTTTTATTTGCATAGATTTGGGGGCTAATGTACTAGAAGAAGATGATTTCTCTAATGGTTGCAACTTCTTTTGGCCCACTCATGCTTATGCTGAGAATTGTAACTTATAAGCTATCGCAACTAGGGGTGAGCATTTGGACCGGACCGGCTCTTGGACCAGACCGGTTATGGAAAATATTGTGGACCATGGACCGGACCGGATGAGTCGTGTCTGGGTCTAGGTCCGGGTTTTCCGATTTTTGGACACGTTTGGACCGGTACAACTTTAATTACATAGAGTATAAGTAATCTACATTGATGTATAATATTATAACTTGCAAAATTAATATGTTTCCGTTTCATGTATAACTAATCTACATTGATGTATAATATTATAACTTGCAAACTTAATTTTCCAAATAAAAGCAACTAACATATAAATCAAGTTCACCAACAAAAGTTAACAATTTTAAGACAAACATACAAAAGTATTACCGTAACAACAAAAATCATAGTTTAAACTTTAAAATCAATCAAACTAACAAACTTCATAAACTCATAATCTAATCTTCCATTGGCCTCTTCCCTATATCATTGTCATCAATATGTAACATATTTAAAGCTTGTGCAATCTCTACATAAACACAAATGAAAATGTTGTTAGTATTTAATAAAAAGTAATAATTGTATAAAAAAAGAACAAAGCTTGTAATTGTTTTACCCAAAGCTATATCATCATCGTTCAAGATGTCATCAACGTTGTCAATTATCGGATTTGTAGACTTTCTCACCCAATCTTGGGTGCATAACAAAGCTTCAACTATCAACGTCGATAAACTAGTCCGATACTCACTTACAACTCTACCACATGTGCTAAACGCGGACTCGGACGCTACACTTGAGATTTGTATCGCCAATATGTCTAACAACAAAGAATTAAATTGTAACAACATTAATTTATAAAGAAATTATGAAAGACTAAAAAAAAGTAATCACATTTCGCCATCCGAGCAATTGTTGGGAACCTAATCGCGTTTACTCTCCACCACCCGAGAATTGAGAAATCTTTTTTATAATTAACTATATTCTCTTTCAAATAAGTTCGTAACTCGTGATCCGTTGGATCTGATTTGCTACTCCCGTACAAAGAAAATCACCGAAAAAATCGTTATCATCATCAACATCAATGACTATTTGACTAGCTTCTTGTTGAGATGATCCACCATTGTCAAATCGTTCCAAGTAGGTCATAAATAAATTCTTCATCCTATTCTCAACCTCTTGGACCATTTGACGTGCTTTTATGTCTATGCCCGCGGGGGTCAATGACGGTTCCATGTACCCGATCATTTTTTTAAAAGCATGTAACAAAAAAGGTGATTTGGTGGTAGGATCAAGTAAAACCGCAAAATACATAAAATCGTTCATCTTGTTGTATGCACCCCAATACTTGTCGTATTTCGTCTTCATATCTTTTACCATATCGAGAAACATTGGTTTGGTTGACCACTTTCTTAGATGTATGTCCACATCTAAGACTTCCCGGATAAAAAGATTTACCAAAGGTTTTGATGTAGCCGAAACAAGCTCTGTTTTTGTTTTGAATTTTTCAAAGAATTTCACCATTTCGGTTACAACTTCAAAGTCATAGTTTTCCGGTACTCTATCGAGATCCCTTTCATATGATTTATCTGTCAAAGATACATAAACAAACAAAATTAAACAAAATTATAGTCTAAACAAACAAATATTTCAGCTTTGATAGCTCTACTTTGAAGGATTGTAACTCAATGAATATAATACCAAAATAAACAAAAATTATAGTCTAAATTCATCTACAAACTGTAAACTAAAAGTTGGAAAAAACCGGAGGTCAATCCGACTTAAAACGAATGAGTTATGGGTATTTAAAAAACTAAATGTCCGGTCCGATCCACCGGTCCGAATACTCACCCCTAATCGCAACATTGTCCTTTTGAAATCAACTGTGCTTATTTAACATAAATCTTGATACACAAAATGACCCAATGTCATTCAAAACTCAAAAGCAAGCGGCGGCTTATATTTGTATTTATAATATAGAGGCATTTTTAAATAAATGTATATTTGTAAATTTAATTATAAAGGAAAATGGCTTAGTAATCATATTTGTATTTATAAATAAAATCGTCGAGTTTTATTGTATTGTTGGATATTTAATGTCCAAAAAAAACTATATGCGTTTTCAAAATGGCCCAAACAAATTGAACATAAACATATATTTAATTTGTTTTTCGGTTTTATGAAAATCCAAATTTTGAGTTTTATTGGTTTCTTGTAACAGAAAACTAATTCATTTTAAAAGCATGTTTTATTTATAAGTTTGATCGAATAATATTTTCAAAACGAAGTCATTTTTTATTTTACAATTATTTATGGAGAAAATTTGCAAATAATCATGTAACGCAAAGAAAACTATCCAAAACATAGCTAATACATATTTACTCTATCCAACGGAAAAACTAACCAAAGCAAAACAAAACCAATACATATCTTCGTATATTCTAATTCTAATCTTCATTCTTAATAATAGCCTCTCCTAAACGCCACTCCATCATTTAGACTAGCATTCACTATACTCTTTGAAATCTGATTCGGGAGGGGCGAGGAGGGGCAGTAGCCCCCCTGATTTTTGGGCTAGAAATAAGAAATATACTTCAAAAATTTTAATTACAAGGCCCTTTATCTTCAAACTTGGGCTTTGGCCCCTCCCGAATCAGACTCCAAGCAAGCATAGTCCGACCAAATCAGACTCCAGAAATCACGTTCGGTTCTTCGGTTCTTCCCCAATTTGGT